AAAAAACGAATCTCTTCTTCATGTACTTTCATTCAAATGAAGGTCCTCCTATCAATGTTATCTCAGGAGATTCATCGAAACCAAGTTTCTCTTAGTATCTACAAGTTATCATCGTCACGACCAAATTCTTGACTCGTTAGCGTTTCCCCAAAATCGAAGGAGATTGCCTCGGAAAAAGCGTCAGCATGAATCTTCCAGTAAAGCCAATCGACAGCTGGTCAAAAGTAATCCGCCTTCGTCTTCTGGTGAAACCGACCTTCGAATCTCTTCACCAATCACTTTTACTCGAAATGGAATTAAGCTCAACAATAGTGTATAAGACTCAGGAGAAGGTGCAATTCTCTAGGTCCTTCTGACAGTTTTGATCAATTTGAAAATTAGTTACACAGACAGCCTAAATGATAAGAAAGGAGATTAACCAAATTTTTCTAAATTTTATATAAACAAAATCATCGCTCCGCAGAACTCGTAAGTAAGGCATTGTGATATGATATTACATTTCAAAGTAAAAGTTGGTTGCAACGAATAATTGCTATGGTCTCACCAGAAACCGAAGGAGAATTGGAAAGAAATCCTCAGTTCACCGTTAACTGGCACTGTAGTGGCGTGAGACAAAGACTATGTCGAAAATTCCTTCCAAATAACTTTTTATTCGAATTACAAGGTCATGTCATAATCATTCGATGTTTTTTTGTATGTGTATATATTACATGTATGATATAGCTAGATATTCTTCATAGCTCAGTATTAACTTGGAGTCTTTGCAAGAATGAATTCCATATCTGACAATGTCCGTCAGGTTGTATGACAGACGAAAGCTCAGGCAATTTTCACCCGAAACTGGGAGGGATGCCTCGGGCACTGTGTCAGTCCGAACCGTAGTATACACGAATCTCTTAATCTTGCTCTTGCATAAAGGGGTTTCTTCAAAACCCGTAATTTTCGGTGTACTTTTAAAAAGTGGTCTAATACTACTCAAATGCTAGCCAGCGACTATCAGCCGACTGGCCGTGAGCTTGTTGTGCAGTGAGGGGCTAGTAGTTTTTAATATAAATGGCCAACATATTGAATGCGTGTGCATATTTATTTGTATTTACGTGGACCCCGCGAGAAACCAGTTGGTGCGACAAGAGAGTGGGAGGGAGAGACGGCGAGACCGAGAGACAAAGATGAGGTAGCAACGTTTAAGTGGCATATCCACTCCGCCTCGGAAGGACAGAAGAGTACGAGGGGAGGGATCCGGCGTGTAGCTCTTCAGTCTGGCCGGGCCGGACTGGCAAGCATTTTTCGCTTCTAATTACTTTGGCCGACTGGTCCGAACGACGAGCAAAAGGTTGTCCGGCTGGACGACCCCCCCGATCCGGTCGCTTGAGCCCGGCTTGTCTGTTTACTCTTGCCTCTCTTGGGCCGGGCTACACGGGCCCGAGACTTGTTGACCGGCCACATGTCCACCCGGACCGTTTATGACGCAAGCGTCCGACACATCCGCAGCCTCCGGCCTTCCGGGCGTTGGGCCTTTTCTTTCGCCAGTTTCGGATAACTGGGACGAGGCTGGACGAATGTCCGAGTCCAGACGGCCGCTGGACTCTGATTAATGAGCAAATTAAAGTCTTCTCTTTCTTCGCCACAACCAGCCATCATGTTTCGCTCATATTCACACCACCGCAACAGGACACTCCGTCGGTCCGCGGGTCTGTCTGCCGGAAGGGGAGAGGTGTCGAGAGAAAAGGTCAGTTGGAACGCAGATGAATTTGACCACTTGACCATATGGTCGGCTGTGGAGGCGCACCCTCATCGGCGAAATGCTGCTCGAATTCCGCTGATCCGGTGGCGGCGCCGCGGGATATGGGCCCGATTTAATATATCCTGTGAAGACGTGGCCGAGCAGATATGGCGCCCCCTCGATCCGAATTTCTCACCTTCCAACAGGGAGCAGCATAACAGGTGGAAACACAGGAGGCATGGATGTATAGGTAGATGTATGGGTGGTTGTATACAGGGGTGGATAGATGGGAGGATAGATAGGAGGATTGATGGGTAGAAGAGTGAGTTCATGAATGATCAGATGAATGAGCGTATGACAATCGTCTCATCTCATCTCATCTCATCTCATCTCATCTCATCTCATCTCATCTCATCTCATCTCATCTCA